CTTAGGGCAATATATTCTACAGACATGAGCTTTTGTGTTCTTAGCAATAATCATGATGTTACGTTGCAATGGACAGATTCAGTCTCAGGTACCAAAAGCATCGGACCAGAAAGCTGCCTGTGAAGATAGAATGTCTCCTTAGAGTGACTCTGTCTAAATATAAGATCATCGGATCAACACTTTGCCTACGAGCTATTTCCGATTCGACCAAAACCTGAGGTAGCCTGCCTTCAAATGAAGATACAGTTTTGTTCTAACTTAAACAGACACTTCTTGTTTCAATTCTAGAGCTTGAGGTGTTGATGTTGCTGCTCTATCCTTGACAAATGTCCTTAGGCATCCGTTGATTATGCGTGGCGCTGATCCATCGCAGAACCGTTTTGCAAGATCAACAGCCTTTTTTTGTATCATTTTTGTAACAGTATTAGTTCACAACAAGCTCAAGGTTATCACATTGCAAAGCTAACTGAAGAGGGAGATATACCTCGTTAATGACAATCGGGTGTCGGGTTTCAAGGACTGCCATTTCAGACATTGCCAAGTGAAGAATCGAAAACTCTAGTATTCTTCCAGCTGGTGCACTCTGCGAATACATTCAGCAACATCCATAAGGTATTATCGGTATTAACAGATGAAAAGATATGGATACAATCAAACAACCAATATAAGAAGATGCTCAAGCTAATTTGAAAGCAAATGTAGAGCTCATGGTTCAAACAGCTAGTAACAATGAGCAATCACAACATAGGGACAATGGAAGAAAACGATCAGAAATGAAGCTTTGAGTTTGGTGGTTCATTGGTTTTCACGATCTACTACTTGACTGGAGTTTAAGTTCACTTTATACCTTCCAATCTGGCGGGGAAATTTTCTCAATGATAACGACATGACTATCCCATTTATCAACCACTGCAGCCAAGAGTTTCTTTGCAAACCTTTGGGAAAACACAGTGGGAATAAGATATCCAGAATATATTTCAGAGTAAGCAGCAATTACTATTCATTGATACATTTAATAGATTACCGTAAAACAAGTTTGCTGTACACCAGCTTTGGTGGAGCTGAAAGCACTTCTGCTTCTGCAGAAACAGGAGGATAAAATACAGGTAATAGTAGTATGTCATTTACATGTTAAAAGATGGGAAATTTCCATGAACCAGTCGAAACAAGAGTCTGTTTGCAATAGAAGTAAAGCAGGACTGATGAAACTTATTTTCAGGATAAAAGCTAACCAATTTTCGTTTCGTTTTCATCATGGCGCACAAGCTCATCTTCCTCTTCACTTGTTTCCGTTTTAACTGGGGGTCCTCCAAAGCTCATGTGGTTATATTCCAACAAAGAAGTCTTGTCAAACTCGTATCCAGGCTCTGTACAAACCAACAGTCATTACACAATGAAGTTATGTTACATGTAGAAGAATCAAGCAAATTGATCCACATAGTGTGATTCCTACATACATGACCTTGTTGCAGCAGGAAACAAAAAAAAAAAGATCAAAAACATGTTCAGTTGATACTTACCTCTTCTTGCATTTATTCTCTTCTCAAAGAGACGAATTGGATCCGAGCCTTCTAAGCATGCGGCATAAAGTATCACCCTGTCAAGATCATCCAGCAACATGGATCAGAAACAAGAAAAGTAGGGAGCAAATTCATCATTCTTACTCAGAGCAAAGAATCACATAGTAGTTCATTTTTAGTTGAAATTAATAGACAACAAATGGCTCAATAGAATGAATGAGTACCGAGACACATAGAAGTTAGGTTCTGGGTTTAGGGTTTTGGGTAAAACCTTAAACCCACCCTCATGGAACTCTAATTTGACCCTTATCCTTGTCTCATCAAGCCGCAAAGATGACCGAATTGTTCCAATTTCAGTAAAGAGAAGCTAAATTTCCAATTCCATTAAAATCCTCCAAGCAATTACGAATTCAAAAACGAGAATGGAAAGAATCAAAGAGAGAAAATGAAAAAGCATACAGAGCGAGTTCGCGAGCGGCTCGAGGGCTGCTTAATCGGCCACTCTTATCTATTTTGGGCATCGGGACATCTCTTACTTCCTCCGAGGAAAGTGTCGGTGTACGGAGAGCGCTTCTAGTCGGAGAAAGAAACAGCCGCAGTGACGACGACCGTCTATTCAGGGAAACCAAGTTCGTCGGTCGGAGAGAATGAAGCAATGTAAATCCCAGAGAATCTGGTGATAAATGATTGGACAGGAAACAGAGACTCGAGGAAGAACGTAGGCAAAGCGGCGAGATGGTTCCCTCCATTTTTGGTGTTTGGAGCTCTCCTGCTTCTTCGTTCGAGCAGATAACGATATCCAGTAATAAAATTATGAAAACAAAAATATCTCTCTCGGCAAAAACAGAGAAAATAAAACAAAAGAAGCAGAAAGATACGACGACGTTTTAGACCGAACGATTGGCCGGGCAAAAAAAACTAAATATTATGGCCCATGCAGGTTTCGAACCTGCGACCTTCG